TTTTAATATTTTAACAATTTGACCTGCAGAAATAGTACAAATGTCCGTTACATTAGAAAATAAGTACAAAACATTTATTGTTTTTGAACTTTTTCTCATAAAGTTAACTTCGACAGCCATAACATTGTATTTTACAACTGGCCCCACCAAATTCTTTTTTACTGTTTTATTTTTGGCATCATAATTAAGCCTAACCAATATGAAATCTTTGACTTGAATCCTTATATCTACGACTGGGTCAACTGTCAAATTGGTAAAATCTTCTTCGTCATTATCTGAATTTTCAAGGCCCATTGAACTATCTGAATCGTGAACTAAAATTTTTGAAGAAGAAGAGTCATCAGATTCTATAATTTTTTTCTCTTTGGAATTATTAACCTTTCATAATATATTTACCTTAACAGTTTCAATCGCCATCTTCTTTATTCTAATTTTTTGTGGCTCGTCTTTATCTGGTGTACCTGTAGCGATTTTTGTGTATCTTTCCCTTTCTTCTTGTTTTGCGTATTGCTGGTACGTTGGCTTTCTTTGGAGATCCTCGTATTTCCACAGGACTTACAAATTGTAGTTCCATATATTTTTCTGGTGTCTTTTTCCTTTGTTCGTCAAGTTGATAAAGCTAAATTTCACTAGTAGAAGTAGAAGGTAATTCTTCCAACGACTCTGGGGGAGGTGGTCTATCCGTCACATGACTCGCTAAAAAATCTCCTTCTTTAAAGACATGCCGATTGAATGGAAAAATGTCTGTCTTCTTGAAAGCTGCAGCTATGTTTACAGGGGTTATTGCTCGGGGATAAGCCACTCCTACAAATGATGTCACGTGATATATAGTTGCTGGTGTTCTTTTGGACTAGAACCTTAGCTGAACTATTTGCGACTGTCAAAGTCCCCGTTTCATCCAGGTTATAAATTCTCAGACAATTTGAGAAAGTTTCGTGACTACTTAAAACATTTTCTAGTTTTTCAAGTAATTTTACATTAGCAGGATTAAATCCTGCTGCCCTAGCTGAAGGTGGCTCGTAGGCTTCAAGATGAATGCCGTTTTCAAAATTCTTTGTACCAATCTATTGATGCTTGGCCTGACTGTTTCCAATTGTCCGGTGGCTTAATATTATTAGCTTTGGCAAATCATAGGTTAACTTGCGACAGTCGGTTCCAGTTAGTCCATAAAACATCTTTGAGCAAGTCACAATGTATTGAACAAGAACTTCTAATAACTGTGACAAACAAATTTGTTTAACTTTGTAGTTAGAACTCATCCTACAAGTAGGGTTTTCTTTGTATTTTTTACATATCTGCTTAAAGTTTGGAAGCTTAAGTTTGTTTCCCTGGTAGCACAGCGTATATAAAATATACTCAGTGACATTAGAAGTGTTACATCCAGGAATAATTTCTTAAAATTAATTGTTTGGCAACAGAATGGAATGACTAAATTTAAAACATGCTATGATAACAATACCAATTTTTTATCTTTTCTACTTTTTGTAAAACTAAAGTTTTATCTTTAAATTTTTGAAGAGACCGATTTGTAAAAACCTGTTCGTATAGTTATTTTCAGATATTATGCCTCGAGTTAGAAGACACCAAAATTAACACCATGTTAGCGATTTCGACATATTGCGTATAGAGATATGGGTTTGTCGTATCGCAAAATTGGCCGTTGTGTTAATTGTACGGCAATGACAGTTATACGTGTTTATATGTGTGGACAAACGAAGGTAGAGGAACACGAAGAAGACACTGGTCAACCGAGGCGTACCACAGAACGTCAAGATAAGCGCTTTAGACTACTGGCTCTGCGGTACCGTTTTGCTACTACGCGTCAAATTGCTGACCAATGGTTTGGAGAAGTAAGTAGTCACCACAACTTAGATGAACAGATGACATAAAACAAGATGATGGATCCAGATGGAAGCATATAACCCAAGGGAACGAACGATGGTGGAAAAAGTTGGAGGCGTATCTCGAAAAATGAATGTTCTTCATTGAGTCTATCAAGTCCATTGAAATGTTACATTTAGACCTTAGTGTGCGTTTTTCAGGTGACGCATTTTTTATGTGTGGAATAAGTTAGTGTAAGCTTAAGTTCAAATATGTGGGGTAGTCACTCCTGTCCCCCGGTCGCCATCATATGAAAACTGGTGCAAAGGGTTTTCGCGTTGTATATCATAAACTAGCAACGCTACAGTAAAATTTTATTACACATTATTTGTAGCAAATTAAATTGTCTACAACTTGATTCCTATTGATTTTTATAGTTTAATGAAAAATAAAAAAGTTATAAACAAAAATAATTCAAAATTTTTAAACAAATTTTCTTTTTGGCCATAAAAAAGTCAAAAGTTAGCCATTTTCAAATGACCATAAAAAAAGTTACCAAAAAAAATTTGTTCGAAAATTTTCAGTTATTTTGGTTTATAACTGTTTTATTTTTCATTTTTCGATTAAAAATAATAAGAATAAAGTTGTAGACAATTTAAATTTTTATAAATTATGTCATATAAAATTTTCTGTAAGGTTGCTACTTTACGGTATATAGCGCAAAAACTCTTTGTACTCCTTTTTCTAAGATGAAGGACGTAAGACAACAGACAAGGGAACGACCTCACGAACTTAAATAAGATTACTAAGATTCTACTGAGAAATATTTGTTTACAAGCATGAAGGGATGATAAAATGCATACAGTGTTACATAAAGTATTTATAATTGAAGACTTTTACTTGTAAACTACAAAAACAAAAAGTTGGATCTATTTCTAATATTTCACTTCTATTTTACATTTCTACTATATACCCAGATAATGCAGCTAAAGGAGGAAGCTCTATCATAATTAAAGATAACATCTTGTATCATGAGTAATTAAAATATGCAACTGAGCACATACAAGCTACAACAGTCTGTGTTAAGATGAAAACACATACCTTAAATTTAAGTTCAATATATTGTCCTCCTAGATACTCCATTAAAAGAGAACAATATAAAGAGTTTATGAACACTTTAGGAAAAAGATACATCATCGGTGGATACTTAAATGCAAAGAATACCCACTGGGGCTCTAGGCTAACTACAACTAAAGGAAAATAACTATTGTCAGCTGTTAAGTAACAAAAGGGTGAAGTAATCTCTACTAGTAGACCAACATTCATACTGGCCTACCGATAGGAACAAAATTCCAGACCTGATAGATTTCTTTATTTACAAAAATATCTCAGCTAACTATCTGGATATCAATGACGGCTGGGACATGAACTCTGATCACTCACCGATAATTTTAACTATTAGTGATACAGTGATTAAAAAAGAATTCAATCCAATATTGACTAATAAAAAAACTGACTGGGGCTTCAAAATAAACCTTGAACACAAAATTAATCTTGCTCTGCCATTGAGAAACACGAGGCAACTTGATGACGACTCCTATCAAGTTGGAAAACGGCTATTGGGCTAGAAGTAACGAAGATAAAGCAGAACGATTTGCAGATCATTTTGAAAGCACGTTCAAACCCATTGCTAACGATGGTGAAGAACTGAGATGAGAAGAACCATTCCAAACTTAACAAAGAATATCGTTGACATTATTTAGAGAAGTATCAACAAAGATAAAAAGAATATAAATCCTAAGAAAGCTCCAGGATATGATCTTATAACAGGAGAACTATTAAAAAATCTACCAAGAAAAGCCATAGTTCAGCTGACACACCTAATAAATGCTGCTTTTAGATTGAGATATGTTCCCAGACTCTGGAAAGCAGCCGAAGCCATTATGATCGCCATACCAGGTAAACCTTCTAAAGAAGTGACATCCTATCGACCAATATCAGTCCTTCCGGTGATGTAAAATTATTTGAAAAAACTTCTACTGAAAAGATTAAAACCAATAATAGAAAGAAAAAATCTTAGACCAAATCATCAATTTGGTTTCAAAAATCAATATTCTACTATAAATCAAGTACACAGAATAACGAATATAATAGAAAAAACATTAGAAGAAAAGAAGGTCTGCTCCTCAATATTCTTGGACGTAGTATAGGCCTTTGATAAAGTCTGGCATGAGGGTTTAAACTATAAACTAAGAACGTTTATGCCTAAACAGTATTCAGAAATCTTGGAATCATACATTGCGAATAGAAATTTCAGAGTAAAACGAGAAGAAGTGTACACCGACTTAAGGGAGATCAAAGCTGGCGTGCCACAAGGGAGTGTCTTAGGTCCGGTCCTGTACCTATCGTATACGTGTGACATTCCAGAGCTAGAACAAAATAAACAAAATTTCCCAGTTAGAATAAATGATACCCAAGTTCCTTATGCAACATCAGCAAAATACTTGGGCATCACCTTAGACGCGAAGCTGCGCTGGAAAGTCCATGTCAAAAAGAAAAGAGGGGAGCTCGATATTAGATATAAGAAATTGTATTGGCTGATTCAACATAATCCATTCATAATAAATTATCCATTTACAAGCAAGTACTGAGGCCAGTATGAGTATATGGGTGCCAGCTCTGGGGCTGTACCAAAGCTAGTAATCTACATATTATCCAAAGATTTCAAAACAAAGTACTGAGAAACATTGTTGATGCTCCTTGGTATATCCGTAACAGTAACCAGGGCCTGGGTATGGAAACTGTGACCAAAATAATCAAAAGAACAGCAGCAAGTCACGAACAGAGGCTGCATAGTCATGTGAATGTCGAGGCAATTCAGCTTCTTGACAACACTGAACTAAAGAGAAGACTCATAAGGACAAAACCATTTGAGTTGGTGTAAATATGTAACAGTTTAGTGTAAAAAAGCAGAATATAGTGCTGTGATGTTATTGTTGAGAGATAAAATAAGAGTAAGCCATAGAGTAAGCCCTTAGTTTTAAGTATTTGCTTTTTATTAAGTTAGGTCAGAAAATTAGGTCAACTTATAATTGGTCATTTGTGACCAGATAGCAGTATACAAACACAGCACAGGGGTTATACAAAAAAAAATTCTAATATTTAACAGAAACACTCACCTGTTCTGGTCACAATGTTTACCTTCACTAATACAAATACAGTTTGGCCGATAAAACAATGTGCTGTCGAATTTATTAACATTCTGATAGAAATCAGATCAAAATACTCCCTCTTATCATCGATAAACACCACTGAGTAGTCACGCAGCAAAGGTTGATTTTCACGTAGCGCGTGAGAAACCTACGTTGTGTTTTTTTCAGAAAAATATCATTAACGTATTTTTAAACGTGTTTACATAGTCAACTAACAACAAAGATGAAAAGATGTCCTTATTTTAGACGCCTATTATTATATTTTTTGAAGCACTGATAATCAAATTATTAAAAAAAAATAATCACCACTATAAAAAAATGTAAGATACTTAATTCAAATTATAATACATACACAAAGATAATACATAATTAATTATTAATTATGATTAGTTAATATAGATTGGTAATTATCATTCCATATCACCTCGTGTGCGATAAATCAAGAATTTAAAATATAATTTACTAAGAAATGTGACGTGTCACCATTGTCGTCGTATATTGGTACCTTGGATGCTTAAATTTTCTGTAGTGTGTATTTGGGTGTGCCGGTTAGGTATCTTCTTAGGAAAATTAGGAAAGTCCTTCATATTGCGTATGGTGGCACTGGTTTTTGAGTGTTGGATTTTATTTTTGGAGGTATTTATTGTTTTGTAGTCCCGTGGAGGATGGTGAAGATAAGAAATAATCAACAATGGACATTATGTAAAAGACAACCTTTTACAAAAAAAATCTGGACATATTATACAAAATTTTCCATAACAACGGCTATCCTAAACAAATTCTAAAAAACAAGACAATCAATTAAGTATAAAAAAAAACTCTCCTTTATTAATGGTCTAACTCATTCTTTCATATCCATATTCAGTTCCTGATATTAGTATACCTAAATATAATATCATGAACAGCAAACAACTATTTTCAAAAATCAAAGACCCAGTACCAACCTTATATAAAAGTAATGTTGCTTATGAAATACCGTGTCTAGGATGTCAAAATAACTACATTTTGTACATTGCATCACTGAACATAAAAGTGATTGCTGCTTGGGAAAAAAAACTTGTGCAGTAGTTGAGCGAGAAGACAGAGCCTTTAGATTAGAGAGACAGAAGATCACGATAGATGAAATTAAATATGCTATTAAAAACTCTAAAGACAATAAGGCTGCTGGATTAGATGGAATGCCAGTAGAACTGTTAAAACTAGTGAAAGAGGATAACTTGGAAATATTGGCAGATTTATTCAACACGGTGTACGATACGGGAATAATACCACAAGAGTGGCTGAAGTCAGCATTTATAACCATCCCTAAAAAACAAGCAGCAAAAAAGTGCTCTGATTATCGAACACTAAGCCTCATGAGTCATACGTTAAAAGTACTGCTGAAAGTAATACATAAGAGAAAATACACAATGCTATAGGAGGATATTAGAGGGACGCAGTTCGGGTTCCGAAATGGAATATGTACTCGAGAAGGACTATTTGCCATTAACATATTGATAATATGTTGGGATGTAAACGTTGATCTACACTTGTGCTTCGTTGACTACGAAAAAGCTTTCGATAAAGTAAGACATGAAAAACTAATATCAATACTTATGAACAAGCGCATTGACAGTAAAATTATAATTATAATGCAAACATTATATTGGAATCAAAGTGCCATAGTTCAAATTGATGGGCAACACTCAGAAGAAATGAAGATCTATAGAGGAGTTAGACAGAGATGTGTTTTATCGCCACTTTTGTTTAACTTATATTCTGAAGAAAATTTCCAAAACAAGCTCAATAATATCGAAGCGAGAATCACCGTTAACGGAAAATTAATTAACTACATACGATATGCAGACAACACTGTGATCATAGCAACAAGTATAGAGAATCTACATCTTATCGAAAGGTTGAGTATGAATAGTGCTGAGATGGGAATTACAGTATTGACAGTCAATGGTAACGTGATAGAACAAATCGAAAAATATCAGTACTTGGGTACTTTGATCAATGAAATCAATGGTTTCATCATACTGTAGAAATAAACAGGCGAATAGAGATTGACAGATCAGCATTTATACGAATGAAGCCACTCCTAACGTGCAAAAATCTAAATTTGGAGATCAAATTACATACCATTCGCTGATATATATTATTATATGGAACTGAGACTTGGACATTAAAAAAATGCAATTTAGAAAGAATCGAGGCTTTTGAACTCTGGTTATACCGCAGAGTATTAAAAATATCATGGACTGATATAATTACAAATAAAGAAGTACTGGAGAGGGTTGGTAAAGAAACAGAACTAATAACCACTGTACAAACCAGAAAACTGGAATACAAAGATTCAAGGAAGAAGATCTGTTGGCCGAAGGCATAACTCATGGTTAAAGAATGTACATGATTGGTATCAAAGCAGATTGATTGATTTGTTTAGAGCAGCAAGTTCTAAAATAAAAATAGCCATTATGATTGACAACCTCCGTAAGGAGACGGCACTCTAAGAAGAAGTTGTTGAGCACTTGAGATGTATCACATTAACAAAAATAAAAACACTTTAAATTATAAAACTGACACTGGACAGTTAAGTAACATATATTGTAATATATTGAACAAAATTTATAAATATTCAAAATGGCCAACATTCACCTTAATAAGAAGTAACCTTAATAATTCGTCAAAGAAATAGAAATATCATTCTTTTATTGTTTCTTTTATTGTTATTTTTACATTTGAAATAATTTTATCTTTGTATCGTATTGCTGTAATAATTACTTTTGGTATTAATTTTTTTTGGAACACCTCTTTAGCATTATATTTTCGGTTCTACCGAGGGTGCCCAACAGATGAGTCTTTCGTTCTAATAATTTGGTTGCCAAGGAGACACTTGTATAATAATTATCCGTATACAGTTCTCTAGCAGAATCCAGAACATTGTCCATTAGAGCAATCCGCTCCATAATAAACCCGAAGATTATAAGTGTACCCTCCTTCCGTATACAACTTGTACAGTTTTATACCGAACTTATGCCTTTTATTATTTATGTATTGCCTAAATCGTAGTCGACCATGAAATGGTACCATGATCTCGTTAATGCACACTTTTTTACCAAGCGTTAACACTTTTTTCGAGCATTTTAAAAGAACCGTAAATAGGGAGTAATTTTGTCTGTCGTCTGCAAAAGCATTATTATTATTATTATCTCTAAAATGCCACTTACTTAGCAATATCCTAAGATGGTTCCTCGACATAAGACGGCTGATTTCATTTTGATATAATAATGATCTTTTCCATTACCATCGTATAGTAGGCAAGTTACACAAGCCCATCCGTAATAGGATACCAATAAAGCTTTCAATTTCCAGAGGATCAGTTAGAGTCCACTTTTTGATGAGAGATTTTTGTGTCAGTCCTTCTTTTGCCAAACACTGCTCGCCATAGAGATTGGTTTTGTTAACCAAGAGAGTAATCACTTCATCACAAACAAATAACTTAAAAAAACTATAGGGATTCCGAGTTATATAATTATCATAGATTTGAGCTCTAACTCCTGTATCTTTTCCATCAAAGTCAAAATTCTTAAATGATGATCAGTCAACAGGGTTTCACTGTAAGTTATTCAAGTCAATTAGGTTATCTTGATGATTACTTCTATTTTCTGGGTCACTTTCAGCTCTGTACTGGGAAAATTGCATATTCAATAACATTGTCTATATTTTGTAAATTTGAGTGGATATTCTCTGACACTGTTTGTGAACTAATCGGTAAATCTCCGACATCATTAGAGGTATTAAAACTGCACTAACATTAACAGAAAACATAACTATTTTCATCTTCCTAGTCACTCGAAGCTTGCGAACTAGGAGAGTAGGCATCAAACGAATAAACATCAACTATTATTACAGAATAACTTTCCTCATCTGACATTAGTTCATCCCACGACTGTAAAATGCGTTTCTGCCCTTTTTCGTAATCTGCCATTGTGGAGCTAACAACAGACTGGCTTGAACGAGTCGCTTGATGCTTGAGACGGTTACTTTGTCCTTGAATACCAGGCATTGTCATGTGGCACAACGTATGTACCACATGGCCCCGTAGAAGCAATATAAATTTTTTGGGCCTCTTGGTACAAACCTCCGGCCACAATAAAATCTTTCAAAATTCACAAAAAAAGACAGATACCCAAAAATATTATTCAAATAGATTATAAAATACCTTAGCAAACAGAGACTATTACAAAAACAAATTGGTCCCAGGGACCAACAATTTTCATTGTATGCTGCTGGCGCTTAACGTGTTAAGACAGTTTAATCTTGACATTTTAGTGCCAGTTTTTATTTGTGAAATCTTTTAATTTCTGTGAGTGTTTTTAAATCGATTTGTATATCATTTTTTTGTAATGTTCAAATTGTTTTACAGTATAGGTGTTCCTGATGAAGCTATCAAATAATTAGCGAAATATTGAGTTTCTTAGAAAAAACAAAGATTTTTATTTGAGCCCACTGTACCTGATAATTCCTACATATTTATAAATTGTTTTTGGTCGACATAATCACTTTTAAATTATGTCAGCTTGGTTATTGTCGGCCAATATAAAAAATAGTCCAATAAAAGAAAAATCAATACGAAAAAAAAATTATTAGATATTTCCACGTGATTGATCTCGATATTCTATATTTGTAATATTAATATAGTGACCTTGATTTATATTTTAATATAATTCCAGATTTAGGGCAGATACTATTATATTCAAGCCGTTTATATTCCTTTTGCAATTTAAATATATCATTTAATGATTGAGTGATTCCAATTTAAACACGTGCGAAAACACTTTCAAAAAGTGCGATTATCCATCCACTTCAGCTCGTGTTTCAATAAAATATTCCGAAAAGATTTTTAATATATAGCAAAAAAATGTAAACAGTAAACACACTTGTGACTGTGTTCCCTTTATTATTTTCTTTGATAAAATTTTATGATAATCTCGCTGATAAATACTTTTTACACTACTTGTGTATTCATGTGTTTATGTGCATATTTTTTCTCCTTAGTGTTTAAATTTGAGATACCCATTTGTAAATAACTAAAATAATTTAA